AAAAATGCTCTCAAGGCCACAAATGTCACTCTACAGAAACCATTTATAGATAGAAACGTAGGTAAATCCGATGGGGTCGATAATACTGCTGAAGTTGTCAGACTAATAAGTTTTGGCGGGAAACGCACTGATGCATCCCATCTACTCCCCATGTTAATTGGAGAGGAGACATTTTGAAAAGAGCTCGTTGAACCTCTTCTTTCTCAAACTCCCCGAGGTCACATTTTTAAAACTTTAGCCACCTGAAACTCGGCAGTCCTATGAACACAAGAAGACGACGCTCACGGTCTTTTCGGTTGTCATTTCGGTCGTTCCTGGCCAATGGTCGAGGGGATTCATTTTGACATTTTCTGTCTCTCTGAGGAGTTAGAGACAGAGAAATCACACAGCTGCGCTTAACTGCTATTAACTGGTGTGGCCTGGACCTGGTTGCCAAGACAACCAAAGCCTGACTGACTGTGAACACACACACACACAAAAAGCATGCTAAAGAGTATGACATGGTATTAATATGCAGGCCAGAGTCAGGCACACTCAAAATTTCTTTAGGAATTTTCTAGGAGGAGGTCTAAACATGATAAGGTTCGCTGTAGAGTATATCTGTTTCTGTGTTAACTTACTTACTTTTTTTCAAAATATAACTCTAGGAGAACAACTTCTGCTCACACTTCCACAAGACCTGACTTGTAATTCCTAATAATACATCAACAATACATGTGTTGGCTTCCATCCTCAGGAGTTGGTTGAGAACAAACCAGAGAACTTAGAGTGATTTATTTGACTTATATACAGGTTTCTTGAAATTGTAAGTTATATTGCCTCATAACATTATGATTGCCTCATTATTACATTACATTACATTATACTATTAAATTACTATTATTAATACAATAACCTTACTGTATAAAAATGCAGTGCATTTTATAGGCTCATTTTAAATCTTAAAAGTGGCCCCCACTCTTCTGTTCTTTTCAAAAAAAACATTTACATAGGACTTCCACAATATATATATCCGAATCGTGGTTTTTCCTACAGCCCGTGAAGGCAGCAGCAGATGCGGGTCTTATTTGTTCTCTCCGGCAGGAGGGCGTTCCGCTGGAGAAGATACAAACAGTGTGCTGAATTATGCCGGTGGTCGTGTGTACTGGTTCATATTTAGATGCTGTCAAAGCTTAGTTTCTGCCTCAGAGTTGTGGGGGGGTTTTCTGACACCCGGATCAGGCCTTCCTCGCTGCTCAGCCTACCTGGTGGTTATCACTGCCGGGGGAAAGGCGACAGAGGAGGCCAGGCTCGAAGACATGGAGGCTAAGCGTCCTTGCAGAGGGAGTGAGCTGTAGGACGGTAGGCTCTCTCTCTCTCTCTCTCTCTCTCTCTCCCTCATTTCTTCCTCCGTTCAGAAACAATGAAAGGCAGACAGGAGAGGGGTTTATGCTGTGTAGTAGCAGAAAACGCCAGCTAACACTAGTTGTGCTTTATGTGCAGTTTGCAGACGTGTTTTCTTGCCCGTCGTCGTCAAAAGCAAAATGTTATTTTTTTTTTTTTATCCACACAGACAATGATGATGGTGGTTTGAAGTGTCTTTGCTTCAGTCCTGGAAATGCTGGATTTAGGTTGTTTTACTGTTTGTTTTTTACTGGACCCAGATTTAATAAAAACATAATACACTTCAACTGTTTATTTTTCCACAGTTGGACATTTTCTGTCATTATTTGAGAGCTGTGTTCAGTCTTTTCTCTTTACCGTTACACCAGCAGGCAGTGGCCTTCAACGTGACATGCGAGGGGACACATCCACACACACACACACACACACACACACACCGTTCAAATGTCAAGTATGATGGAAATACACTGTAAACACAGCGGCCGCCGTACAGCAGCTGCAGGCGCACACTGCATGTCAGCAGGACCAGTGTTTGTAATGTAAAGAGCCTTTATGGAGAAAGTCTCAATGTTTTAAGAAGAAAAAGATGAATTTGCACTCTTTATTGAGGTAATAAAAGGTAATATAACTGTAATAGTGGTGGAGGAAGTATCTCATTCATTGTTCTTTTAATTAAATGAAAGTTGTAGTAGTACTGAAGTGTAAAAATCCTGCTTTGAATTAAAACTACAAGTAAACTAAAAGTATATTATAGTATAATGTATAAGTGGATTTATATTTTTTATTCATAATATTATTCTGCAAAGTAACTAACTAGTGATTTAAGTTATCAAATAACTAAATAGAAGAAGTCCAAGTCAAAATT